CAAATAAAATACTACTCAAAAGAGAACATCATTCCTGCAGTGGCGTGCTGAAAGACCAGTCTCATTGAATTGTGGCTTTGGGTTTACTTTAGGGTTTGGGCCTGGGGCTTAGGGTTCAGGGTTTATAGGGCAACAGTGTCCCGAGATCTTGAGAGAACGATCTGCGTTCACTTGGAAGCTCGAAGTATGTTTCATCTCTGCTACATCCAACAATATAGCTCTAGTTGCTAGTCTGGTGTAGCGGCCTGAAAAGTTGGAGTGGCGTTTGGGGCCTGTTCTTCTATACCTTCTCCAATTGCAGAAATACGAGTTTTGGCAGCTTCTTAGCAGCACGCTACAGCTGACTCTGAAAGCTTTCTAAGTAAACGTCAACATGTAGAAAATGGCCTGGAGGCATCTGAAAGCAGTTGGCCGCCTGTGGGGCAGCCCCAAAATATGGGCTGTACTATTTTCACAGGAAAACCCTATGCAGCGGAACATCCCCTGCATTTCGTTAGAAACATGCCCTCCCCGGTTTCTGGGAAGGGTCCTTAAACCCTAAACCCCAAAACCCGCACTTCCACCAACTTTTTGGGCTCCAGCTCATGGAGCGTGCACACTGCGCCAGTGGAACGTAGATCTCCACTGCCTCCCGCCAGGTTGTGGCTTTATCGTTCTTTCAAATTCCTGGGTCCAGCCTATATTTGTCTCCCAATTGCGGCTATGATCTCAAAGGTCCACACTGCAGAACACTACAGACAGGACTGCCCGACTAGCGCATGAAAGTGCTTTTGGAATCTAATCTATTCTACTTGGGGCCCAGGAAAGTACTTGCAAAAGCGCACAACAGACAGTAGGGGGTCTGGGTAGCTAACGCCAGACGATGGCCACGCCTGCCCAAAATTCCCAGTAACATCATTCAAACCTCTTGGCTAGTTTAGCAGGGTTGAAAGTCTTTATGAAAACTGCTTTCTCATGTTGTACATCCAAGAAGTAGGCAGGTGACGAAGGGATACGGAGCCCTAAGTGACTCCGAGAAGAAGATATTTTCCTCCAGGCGTAGTGGTAGTTTACTAACTCGACCGGTGCTTGAGGGAGAGTCGGGGAGTGGATCCATTTCATAACCCCATATGAGCTACTGTCTAAACTCCTAGTATCCCCCTTAGTAACCCCTATAGTAGTCCCCTATATAATCCCCTATATAACCCCCCTTTAAGGAGTTTAGACTATAGCTCATATAATTCCCTCATACTTTTGTTAAACACCCCACCGACACTCGTAAACATCCTCCACGAGGCACCTAGAAGATGGTGGCCAAAATTAGTTTCGGGTTGGGGGATTGTTTGGTATGGGTGTGATAGGATCAATCCCGACAGTACTTCCTACTTTCACCCTCCCACTGGTCCTTCAGACAGCGTAGTGGAGGAAGCAAGAACTGAGCGCACAACTGGTGCAGAAGCGTGATATTTAGCGGCGCAATATTAATCTCTCTATTATCCTTCCATATGTATGTGTATATTATATATATATATGTATGTATGTATGTATGTGTGTGTGTGTGCAAGTATGTACTCATATATCTAGAACACCAGATAGCCTCAATTGTACTTCAATTCTTCAGTCTAAACTGTAAAAAACCTAAACCCTTTATGTAAGGGCTTCTTGAATTGGCAACACTTTTTGGGGCCCAAGGCATAGATGACGATTGCAAGAGGAGCTTCGATTCTAGGATCCCCCCCTGCCCCTCGGCGGATTCTAGCATATGTAGTTCGAGGCATACACCCTACACGGTGAACCCTCCAAGATGTTCTTGATAAAATCTCTCTAGCCCTAAACTGCAAACTCTACACTCTAAAACTTGAGTAGGATTCAAAAATGATCCTGTAGGATCGGATACCTCCTTGGCCGCTCGATTCGTAAGACCTGAGCAATTGCCCAAAACAGGGCATGAGGCATATCATACTATATGTATACTTTATAAGGAGACCATGAGGGAATACTATTTTCCCGTACATAAATAGGGTAAGCTGGAATCTCTGCTTTTTAGGATTAGGATTTGCTTTGGGATTTGCATGGTCTAGGGTCTCGTCCAGGATGTAGGCTTCGGGCTTAAGGTTCAGGGCTCAGAGTGCCTGAGCCATGCTAAGAGGTCAAGGCTGTACTGATAGCGTTGAGGGTTTGGGCGTGGATTGGGAGGTGGGGTTTAGGGTTTAGGGTTTACGGGTTTATGGTTACGGGGTTTAGGGTTTAGGTTTGCACTACTTCTGTACCGAAGAAATGGGTGGAAGCAAGACAAGCAGCACACAGCCATGCCTGCAATGCCCCCCCTTGGCAAGCCTTCCCCTGCCTTAATACTAAAGCTTCCCAACACTATATAAGCTATAGTCTAAACTCCTGGTATCCCCCTTAACTACCCCTTTAATAGTCCCCTATATAATCCCTTGTATAATCCCCTTCAAGGATTTCAGATTATGGCTCATGTAATGCCACTGTACTCGGTATTCCTTTTGGGTTGGGCAATCTCCAACCTAAGGCCCAAACAAAAATGTCCTATAAATCCTGATGGCGGATCCACAGATAACAGAAATGTGTCTTTGCACCCCTAAAACAAGATGCTGTAGTCGTTATGGTCGTAGCACCTAGAAGTGGCACCTTTATAAGTTTTAGAAGCCCCACAAGCATCAGCCTGAATCCTAGGTGGTTAGTGTGGAACTAAGGGAAGATAGTCCGTATGTGAGCCATTGTCTAAACTCCTAGTATCCCCCTTAATGAGCCCTACAATGCTCCCTATATAACCCCCCTTACCCTAAACCCTAAACCCTATATAACCCCCCCTTAAGGAGTTTAGACTATAGCTCATACAATTCCTGATATCTTCCCTTATTCTCGGCTCTTCCTCAGTGGAAGCCCAGGGGCGCTGTCGGAAAGACAGGGTCTGCCCGTCCTCCGTAATGTGTTTCCATGGTTTAGGGTTTAGGGTTTAGGGTTTAGGGTTTAGGGTTTAGGGTCACGGGTTTGGGCTTTCCATAAATTACGGTCGATATTAAAAATCCGGCATGAACCTGAATAACTTGTACCTTGGGAACTGTGGTATTCTAGTAAGTATACTAGGGTTGCTAAGGTGATGGAGGATTTTTGATATTAACGCTAGGGGTCATGTAGGGCTATACAACCCCAATCACGGAGAATCAGATGGAAAAGAACATGGAAGATGAAATGGAAACTCGGATGAGAAGTCCTGATTCAGAAGGCAATGTTTGTGGTCTACTTGGAGGGTCACGGACTTACCACATGCGCTAGTAAAGACTATAAACCATGTAGTAACCCTACTTATCGGTTTTGCCCTAGTTTTGAGCGCCACCCATGGACAAATGATTATCTTGGGGCGTGCCAGAGGCTTATCCTACAAAGTAGGATGCGACGGTCTCCCTTCAAGCAGACCCCACATAAACACATCTACGATGACCTACAGGGTGTTACCTGGCTGTATTTTGGGCTTCCCTATCTATAGTCTCCCTTAAGTAGATAGAATATGGGGTCTATGGGGATCTTATTATAATATATCCAAATCCATATTCTATCTACTTAAGGGGGACTATAGTCCTAAACCGCCGAAACCCAACATGGCCCCCTGCGTCCATCTCATGTTCCTTTGTCATCGTGTCCATTTGATATTCCGTTTATTGGTAATAGTTACGTAGCCCCCTCAACCAGCCCTATACAAACCCATTTTCATGTCATAAGCCATGTTGTTTGGAATTCGGATACTTTATAAGCAGATTTTTTCTTGTGTTTCATTGTATTTGCCATTTGCGTCTATCCATTATACAACTATTCAGCCTTTTTTTTGGGGGGGGCTCAACGCAAAGCGCCTGGCCTTCTCCTCTTTGACTGGTGCTTCTATCGGCCTCACCGGTCGTGGGACCAGCGGAAAAGAGGGACCCAGGTGTATGGGTAGAGGTACGTTGTGGACTTTGGGCTCATGCCAATACCCCTTAATCAAGGAGGTCGCCTTCAAATAATGGGGATCCTTGTATCACTGAATGTAAATCAATATTCCGTTCATTAAAGAGTATAGGCTGCCCAGACTCTAAACCCGATGCTCTGAAACCCTAGTCTAAGCCCAAAACCTGCGTCATGGAAGTCTAGACCTGGGGCCGCAGCAAACGTTTAGTAACCCTAAGCCCTACACTCTAAACTCCACACCCTGACCTCTAGACCCCGTAAAGGCTACATCCTACACAGCAAACCCAAAATCTGCACCATCAACCGCACAACCCTGCATCCTATCTGTTAACCCCAGAACTTGAGGAAGTGACACCCATATCCGGGTGATGACCGCATCATCCACATCCACGCCTGCGCAAAACGCTTTGGAGGGTTAAGGGCTCAGAATGTGCAAAGTATGTAGGGCTATAGGGCTTATATAGGGGCTAGGCTATACAGGAATACAAAAGGTTCAGCAAGGGTTTAGGATACTGAACACGGAAACTACTCTATCGTTTAGGATTTAGGTTTCTGGTTACCAAGCCAGAAATACCCTGGTTTAGGGTTTTGGGTTCTGCCACTGGCGCGGTGGTTAACCCCAGCCCTTCCCCAAACTGACATGGAGCCCAGGGACTAACAGCCCATTTCCAAATTGGTTTAGTTCTTAGCTGGCATAGGTTCAGCAAGCCATAATACGCCCCTTCCCCTAAAATGCTCCGCCGCCTTTTTGGAACATTAAATATGGTCCCTAATCTATACAGAAGACTATAGGGCACATGAGATATCAGTGGTGAGGAGGAGCGTTTAACAGCATGCGGGGATTTACAATTTCTAGGCCAAAGCTTACCTTGATTGAGAAATTCTTGACGAGCTATCAAAGGTAATGTGGATTCCTCATACTCGCGGGCCCTTGGGACCGTAAAAAGGACAGATAGTACTTACCACGGGATTATGGCGATACATCTTGAAGATTCTGTCTTGAGAACCTGCCAGGTGAGATAAAGCTATCCAACCCTTAAACACAAATAGTCGTTTCCATTTTCTTTTCCATTATCCCTATATAACCCTATATTGCCCCTATATTAACCTGAACCCTAAACCCTATACTACCCTAAAAGACACTGGTCATGGCAAACCTTGTTTTGTTCTACGCGCATCAACATCGCCACCATAGCCATACGCAGAAGCAAGCTAGATGACTTTCTGTGCTTAGCGGGGTTTAGCGGTTTAGGGTTTAGGGTTTGCGAGATCATCGAGAGAACATCTTCGAAGGCAATTTCTGCACGAATGGCCCTCAAGCCAGCGAGGGCAATATGAGCCGAACGTCACTTCCACCTGTCACGGGGTATAAACAAGAAAGCCTTCAGGACACGACCCCAACTGAGCCCCTAAAAATGACCTTCAGGGTAGGATTGATCAACTCACATGGGGGCATAGTTGGAGATTCCGACATCTACCCTAATCAAGATCAAAACCCAAAACCCTGCTCGCTAAGCCCTAAAGTCATTACCCAAACCCTAAAACTACTTAACGCCCCAAACCACCCACCTTAAGCAACCCCAGCCCCAAGCACAAAACTCTAAACAGCCCCCAACCACAACCCCAAAGGGCCTGTATAACACCCGCTGTATTTCCCGAGGTATTTTTGACGTAGCCTACACCATAATTTTACACGGAATCTGGGACCAAACCCTAAACCCTAAACCGTTATATCGTAAATATACGCCCTTGTGTTGCAGAACCCCATGATGCACCCTATACCTTATATACTCCGGTACACCCCACACCCCACATAGCCCTACATACTCCTCAGGTATGACCGATGCCTATCCTATCCTCCACCTGAAATCTAGTCTACTTGGCGGAGGGTCAAGGGGAATTAGTGAGCAGCTTCATGATGGAGATCACTACGCTTACTATATGGCTGAGGGCGTTCTTAACCTACTTACTACTAAGACGAGCCCCTGACCCTGCAGGCCTAAACCCTGAACCCTAAACCCTAAACCTATCCAACCCTTGGAGCCCAAGTATCTGAACCCAATCCAACCTCCAGAGCGTTGGACGTAGTCTGACAGAACCAGCTGGATCTCTTCTAGCTGGGCCTCGACCGTTTTTTTGGGGGGGGAGGCATTTAGGGTTTAGGGTTTGCGGTTTAGAGTTTAGAGCTTTGGGTTTAGGGTTTAGGGCTTGGGGCTTAGGGCTTAGGGTTTAGCGCTTAGGTCTTAGAGTCTTGGGCTTAGGGCTTACGATTATATGAGCTAGAGTCTAAACCCCGAGTATCTCCCCTAGTAACCCCGGCAATACTCCCAATATTAACCACTACTATACAACTCCCTTTGAGGAGTTTAGACTATAGCTCGTATGAGGTTCGGGGTTTAGGGTTAAGCTGGTAGGCTTAGGGTGTTAGGGTTTAGGGCTTTAAGGGTTAGATCATGGGGATTGTAGAGTTTAGAGTTTAAGGCCTCCACCATGGGAGTTTGCAGAGGAAGAAAGGGTACACAGGGGAAGATCATATCTAGGGATTGCGTAACTCCCCACAATGCGTCGTTTGGGTACATGCGCAAAAAAATGCAGGAGGCGATTGGATTCAAGGTTCTAAAGCCAAATATAGGCCTAGCATTCATCTTTCTCCAAAGAAACTTCGAACACTACCATAATTCCCAAACCCTAAACCCCAAACCCTAAACACAAACCTCAGGCCCCCGGACGAACGGCGTAGGTTTTACGGCTTTTTGCTCCGTTCTAGTTTGGTTAAGGCCCCCCTGATTCTGATGAGACTCCCCTCTCGAATCAACTAAGCTTGGAGTAAAACAAATCAAAATCTAGTTAACATCACAGCAAAGCATGTGTTGAAATGCGCAAGACTCGTATTCAAACCTAATCAGAGTGCAAGTACAGTTAGCCAAGGTCGAATTAAGATCAACAAAACCCAATTGAAAGTTAAAGAGGCAAGTTAAAATCAAGTGAAAACCATTAAACTCAATTTCGGATGTGGCTACAAATCCTCGCAACACTTCGAAAATCCATTGACATTTTCTGCAATTCGATGAACATCGACTAACACTCAACTAAAAAAATCACAGTAAACCAACTAAATCCAAAATACGAAGACAACCCGTCAAAAAACCTCACCAAAATCCAGTAAATTTCATTTCAATTAATCAAGTAACAACAACTATTTAAAATCAACAAAATCTCATCAACGTCAATTTATTAAAGCCTAATTAAACAAAAAGCAAGAAAACTCAGCAAATAGAGTGTATCCGCAACTCTAAATCATTTCAAGCAAAATCCTTTATTGCAAGCCGTGAAAAAAAACTATAGAAACAATGAATTAAAGGAGATCCCCGGTTCATCCCAGTTCCTTATCATTCCGTCTAGCCACCCCCCCCAAGTACCTCAGAACCCCCTAAATTCATTATAAGGAAATCCGAATTGGCTCCTTCCTTTGTGGTCTTGGCCTTTGTAAAAGTAAATCAGCTTGCGGGATCTTCCAGGATTTTGGGCTTTTCTGGTCAAAGTACTTCTCATAAGAAGCGGATCGTTGTTGGAAGAGAGATTATCAACTGCATGATTTCCTATCCCTAAAGCCTAAACCCTAGATCCAAGTTGCGAAAGATTTCCAGGCTGTCCTTCAGGCAAAACGCAGCCATTCGCAGTTGAAGCCCTCTGTTGTTCCTTACGGAAAACGAGAAGCAAAACACATGCGCTCCTCTTAAACCCTGAGCCCTAGTTTGCCTAAATCACTGTTCCCGAAACTGGGGGAACATGGGGACCCCGATTCCGAAACCTGAACCCTGTAAACCTTGAAGCTTAAGTCCTGTACCTAAACTTAAGGTTTAGGGTTCAGAATTTTAGGTTCAGGATTTAGAGTTTAGGGCTTAGGGTTTAGGATTTAGAGCTTCGGCTTTACACCCTAGACTTACAATAGCATTTGCAAAAAAACAATAGCGGCCCTTTTTGGAGTCTTTGACAAACATTTATGAAAACCCCCATATGCGCGATGCCGCCGAGCACCCTGCATCTTGAGCATCACGTTTCTTCTTGTTGCAGGTCTCAACCTATGGGTTTCTAGGGCTTTGGGGTATTGGCAAAGAAGATGGTAACTACTACAACCTTGGGGTTTGGGTTTTCAGGTTTGAGTTGTTTTGGGTTACGTGTGGGACAAGCTAAACCCTACACGAACCAGCAAGCAGAAGGCAACTCCTGATGTGCATGTATGTGCATGCTCACACAGCGTAACAAGTACCAGGCCACCAGCAAAAGCCTGGAACACGAGCCTCCTAGCCGTCCTAGCCCTTGAAACTGTAAAGCCTCAAAGCGAAGACCCAACCATGCTAGTGCCCCCGTAAACCAAAATAGAAGCTCTTTATTATGGAAATTTGGGTAATTCACCTAAACCCCGTTCTTATCTTAGGACAATTTGGGGCCATCAATATCCGACATCGCGTCTATTGCGATTTCCCCTGGCCTGTTTGAGGCCGTGTGTTCGAACTCCTTAAATCCCAAACCCTTACCTGAAAATTGTATGCTGCAAGCTCTGTTGAGATCTCAGACCCCTTGCTGAAACCGAAACCCAAGCCAATTGAACTCACGAAGAATACTACTACCAAAGACATGACCTCAAACAAAGATAATGTAGACCTCTAATGAATAAACCCCTTCCCCGTAACGGGGATTATCATAGGAATCCTAATATTAAGGCCCTTAAAAGGAGGGTGTTTATTCATCATGTACCCCTACACCCTAAACCCTAAACCCTAAATAGTAGTTATCATTTTATTTTCCACTATCCCCATATAACCCCAATATGGTAAGGTCTACATTAACCCTCAGATACTTCCAGTAAGCCCCAGCCAAAAGCCCCCCCCCCAAGCCTCGGCTCGTAAAACCGCATGCGTTTTACGACCCCTACATGGCTTATGGTCTTAACTCCTAGCATCCCCGTTACTAACCCCCATAATGCCTACATGATCCCTAAACACTCATACTTGGAGGGTCAAGGGGACTTAGTAACTGGGGGGTTAGGGTTTAGGGTTAACTCCTAGTATCCCCCTGAATAACCCCCATACTACCTTTTCTATATAAATCCCCAATAAAACCCTGTAACCACCATACTACCTTTCCTATAGAATCCCCAATATAACCCCTTTAAGAAAGGAGTTTGGACTATAGCTCACATGGGTTATGGTCATCAAGGTCTGGTTATTCATTTAAGGCCCTCTGTAAGGGTTTTGGGTTTAAGGTGTTTGGGGCTTCTGCAAACGAAGTTCAACGAAGCCCTAACCTGGAGACCTTGAAATCCAAACCTTAACACTGAACCTAAAGCCCGAATCCTGAACTCTCAATCCTCTAAGTCTTACCTACTAACCAGTGCCTATTTCAATGTTGATTTTCTTTTCCGTCTTATTCTCCACTCTACCCTCCCTGAATCCCACACCCCAATCCCCAAACCAAACTCAAAACCCTGAACCCTAAACCCTAAATCCTGAACCCAAACCCCTAAATCCTCAACCCAAACTCGTAAATCCTAAACCCCAAACCCAAGCCCTAAAGCCTGAACCCCAAACCCAAGCCCTGAACCCTGAACCTCAAACCAAGGCCCTAAACCGTAAACCCCCTAACCCTAAACCCTAAACCCTACACCCCCTAAACCACAAACCCAAGCCCTAAACCCTACACCCTGAAGCCCGGTGGCTTGGCTACCCTGCAGCATCTTTCAGTGAGCCTAGGAAGGCCTGGCCCATTTGCCAGCCAAGGATTGGCTGACGGGTGTGGGTTTAGGGTTTAGGATTTGGGGTTTTAGGCTTGAGGTTTGGGCTTGGGGTTTGGGGTTTGGGGTATCATGTTTGGGGTTTTGGGTTGGGATTTAGGGTTTAGGGTTTGGGGGGATTGGAGGGTTGGGATGTTAGAGTTGTTTACTCACATGTTCTTCCGCATCCAGCGTTTTCAGGGTCTAGGGTGTAAGGATTCGGGTTGAGGTTCAGGATATAGAGAGTTGAAGTGGGCCAGCGGGGAAGGGAATATGAATAACAGGTACTGTTTGGGTACATTATTATACCGGTTTATGATAGGGAACTTGTGAGGTTTTACCCCTCGCTCTCCCTTCAGCGCCAAGCGCCAGTAAGGCACATGTCGCAGCTTACAAGGTGGAGGCGTCTTACGGACAGCAACTGCGGGACTTTCGCCCCTGTTCCAAAATATGGGCTTGTGAGGCTTCGTTCTTTTAGGGAGCCTCTAACCTCCAGGCGACTGCACTCTGACCCGTCTGTGTCTGGATCCATAATGGAAAAGAGAATGGAAGCTACTATAGTATATTGGGGTGATATGGGGATAATGGAAAAGAAAACGGAAACTTCTTATTAGTATTCGTATTAGTATCATATGAGCCATAGTCTAAACTCCTAGTATCCCCCTTAATAACCCCTATAGTAGTCCCCTAGATAATCCCCTATATATCCCCCTTTAAGGAGTTTAGACTATAGGTCATATGACAACGGATTGGGACAGATGATCCATGGGCTGCGGGTCGCCGTGCGTCAGTGTGTGGAGGTTTCTCTCCCTAGTTTGGAGTACACACCAGAAAAAAAAAAGTATAGACTTTTTAGGTATAAGTTGTTATAGTAAGAACCCAGGAGCCAAAAAAAGTATAAAAAGTGCAGTACTCCAATATTGGGCTCAAATTGTCCCTGTACAGTCCATAAACAGCTCCCCACAATCTCCCTTCTCTTCCTGCAGATGAAAGTTCATGAGAATTACCAGCTGAGTGCCCATGTGGTGAAGTCCAATAATGCCCAAAAGGCCACGGATTGTCTTGGCGCTGGAGCCTTGCTGGCCAGAGGTCCAAAGGAACTCTTTGGCCTTGCCCTTGTCCCACTTGCACAGGGGCCCAGACGAAGCATTGAACCACAAAGCGCGTTCGGCCGGTGGAGCTGTCTATAACCCATCCTGATGTTCAGCCCCAATATACCCCCTACATAACCCCAATATACCCCCTATGTAACCCCAATATAACTCTGTTTCCTTCAGCAGGTTCTTACTGGTATTGCTGTCGCGGACCTGGAAACCACCTGGGGTGTTTTCTGAAAGTCAAATTGGTGGT